AACTGGTGGCGTCCCCTCCGATCCCGACCGATATGCATTATGGACAAGAATGCATACAAGTCTCCCATTGAATTTCGAGTGAAATTATTGAACGAAATAGATGAGAGGGTTCGTGATGATTTTTTCTCCTCGGATCCGACCGTTTTGAATGGGATGACCAGGAGATTTCAGAAACGAAGGGACGATACGATTTCTCCCCAATATTCGATTAACACATTGTGCTTCACACTATATGTAACGTAGTTATTGCGAAGCCATTTGAAAAGGTATGTTGGAGTTTTCATATGCTTACCTAAAATGATTTTTGAGATATGCATTTTTATGATAACTGTCTAAATATCTTTAAAATGCTTGGCAAGCGGCAGTATACTTACACTTACAGATAGGCAGTGAATGCGATAAATCATTTTTCATAGTCATTCTTAAAACGACTAATTCATAATTAGTCCTTCTAAGCCTATGTGTCGAGCAATCGAGCCGCGTTCCAGTCCCTTCGATGAATAAAACTATCAGGCCCGAAATTATATAAGTGCGGTTGAGTTGCCGTCGGATGAGACCTTTTTGACTTAAAAGGAGAGTGCTGGAAAAGGCAACACAAGGAATTGGAAACAAGGTGGTTTTATATCCGAAGGGGTGCAGGTGTATGTTTAAGATATTCAACTCGGTAGGAGGCAAAATATATTGTTGAGCTACTGCCACACCTTTTTTATATTGACAATCACGCATGTCATATTTCTCTTTTGCTAGTGAAACTATCACCCTTCGTATCCTTCGCAATAGTTTATTTGCCGCACTTTTTTAAAGATTTTTTGCTACCGCATCCCCATCAAACATTCGCACGTTTATAGTGTACGTGTGAGTGGGCCCCGAAGATTTAGATGATTATATAATATATATATATAAATAAATCCTTCCACGGCACCTGCCGGTATTGGAGATATGAGGGGGGGATGAACCACATCCCAGACCTCATACTCGCTTAATTCTGAAGGACACGGCGAAGGATGCTGGCCGTGCCCAAGATTGCTGTACGCTGGAGGATATCGAGTGATATTTCACACTCCAGCTTCTTGACATGTCCTTTGAGGTCTTTCAGGACAACGCCAGTTGTGCCTATGATGATCGGAACTATGGTGGTCTTCATTCCGCACAACTGTTCCACTTCCACTTTCAGTTCGGAGTATTTCTCCAGTTTCTCCCTGGTCTTCTCTTGGAGGTTGTTATCGGCTGGGATGCTCACATCTACGAGGAGGGCGGTCTTCTTCTCCTTCCTATAGATCGTAAGATCCGGCCTATTGCAGCCTATACTGCGGTCTGTAATTATAGGCATGTCCCATAGTATCTTGGTGGAGGCGTTCTCCACGACAGACTCTGGCTGGTGTTCGTACCACTTCTCTGGGACTTCCAGGCCGGCTTGCTTTGAGACACACCAGTGCACATACTTGCACACTTGGTCGTGCCTATACAAGTACTCCCTCGGGGCTAGTTCGGGGCAGGCACTGAGGAGGTGGTGAACCGTTTCGGGTGGTCCATGACAGCATCTGCAGCGGTCTTCCACATCCAGCTTCAGGATGTGCTTCTCGTAGTTACGAGTTCTAATGCACTGGTCCTGAATGGCTAGGATGTTGCTCTC